TCATGTGGTGTTAGATATTATTTCGGAAGTATTTAGGTTTTTAAAATCTGTTTCCACGTTCACTAGATTGTGTTGTAAGGTGTGTCTCTGTGGGCTGTTTAGAAAAGTTGGAAACTCAGTGGTCCAGCAGCTTCAGGTTTACAATAGGAGTAGACTTCTGCTCTGTCATCTTATGTTCATGAACGTATCTTGCTCCCGTGATGTGACTGGGGGCCAAGGAGTTCAGTGTCACTGGGGATGGAGGGTACCAGGTGCCCATGCGTTCTGGCAGCTGCCTTTTGTCTAATGATGAGGTTAACTGAGCATGTTCTGTGCTGAGCATTTTGGGCATCAGCTGAAACCTGATCATTTGATTGGAAATAAAATGAACAAGAAGAGAAAGGCTGATAACTCATTTTTGACAACAGCTGCTGCATTTTTTAAAAGATTTATTTATTTGAAAGGCAAAGTTATAGAGAGCAGGGAGAAAAAGAAGTATCTTCCATCCGCTAGTTCACTCCCCAAATGGCCGCAACACCCGGAGCTGCGCCAATCCAAAGGCAGGAGCCAGGAGCTTCTTCTGGGTCTCCCACACAGGTGCAGGGTCCCAAGTGTCTGGGCCATCCTCTACTGCTTTCCCAGGCCATAGCAGAGAGCTGGATGGGAAGTAGAGCAGCCGGGTCTCGAACTGGCGCCCATATGGGATGCCGGCACTGCAGGTGCTGCTACACCTGCTACATCACAGCGCTGGCTGACAACAGCTTCTTAAAGTAGTTAATATTTTGAATCTTCATGCTAAGGTTTATCATAGCTTTTCTTTCAATTATTATACTTTTAAAAGACTGAGACTATTCTTAACTATCATTTTTATATACATTGATTGGGAAAGTGGTTTATTCTCCCCCACCCTCCCTCCAGGAGTACATTTCCAGTTTTATAACAAAGGAAAGCAAGCATGCTTTACTTGTGGAAAGACTACTAAAACTACCGTTCTGTTGAGCAGGGGCTGGAGGTGCACAGCCACACCTACCCCTGATTCTTCACTGTCTTCAGAATACTAGTTACATTATACTCTCTTGTTCAGTGCTGTGAAGAGTGGAGACTATCTATAGTTTATAGAATATCTGCCGGTTGGGACTGCACATGGAAACAGATGCTGTGTATTTACTCTGTATCCTTTCTTCTGGCTAGGTAACACAGAAGTACCAACTGGTGAAGTAACGTGCTGAAGTTGAAGTTAGCTAGTGGTCCTCACATACGGCTCTTGTGTTTCCTGAGAGAAAATACATAGATCAAGTTGAAATAAATAGAAGTCTAAGTATTGTAATTATAAATATGCATGAAAGGTGTGAATAGATGGAAAGTGTATTGCCATAAGGAAAAAGACAGTGGGAAGTGTAACTATAATAACAGTAAGTTCTTGTGCAGTCTCCATGTGCGGGGTTATCTATAGTCATGGCCTGGCTGTGCAGCTTCGGTTTGTTATGAATGTTAACATGCACCCAAGGCCGACTGTGCTCAGAACACTGGATGTAATGTGGTGAGTGATGTTCTGCCTGTGAACACTGGGAATCAGTACTGAAGACTGAGGAGGTGTGGGCTCCACTGGGTCTCAAACTCATCTCCAAGAGCTGAGGGACACCATTTCCCTTTAAGGCCTCTGCCTGTGAAGTGAAAATGTTGGACTTTTTCTCAGAGGTTCCTTTTAGCTCTTAGATTTTGTGCTTCCCAAGGGCTGAAGTGTTGCATCAGGACCCAACCTGGGGTTTATGCTGATTTGAAGCCCAAAGGAACGCCCTATCCTTTTTTTTTTTTTTCTTCCAAGGAGATCGGTTATGTTACCCCACAGAGCCCAATAATGCAGTGAGCTGTCAGTGCTGTGAGGTGCTTCTTCACTGGGGACTGGTCCTAGCTTGTTTGTAATAACCTTATAATGATGCCAGAAGATGTAATTTCTGTGATCAACTGTTGCCTGCTCAGAAAGCTTGTCAGGACTTATCTACATCAGTACCATTGTCCTTATAGTTAGAGAAGTTAGAGATAGCGCCTTTAAAAGTAGCCCCTTGGAATTTAAGGAGTCCCCATTATCTTCTTAAGAACAAAAGCAATTTACCGAGAAAATAGATTCTGCTGAATATAGTTTTATAGATGTTAGTAAGGCATGTCTTCATTTTAAGGCTTTCAAAAAACTAGTTTACATTTGCTGATTCTTCACTGTCTTCTGAATACTAGTTACTTTACAGTCTCTTGTTCAGTGCTGTGAAGAGTGGAGAATATCTATAGTTTTCTTTTGACATTGGTATCCTTTGTTTTCTGGGTAAATTAGGAATTAGCATCATCAGAAGAAATGCTCATCTGAATGAGTGTTCTTCTGTCACTGTTCATATATACTGTTTCACTGTGTGGTTTGATTGCAGCCTTAACACTAGAAGATTCTTTATATAGATGGAAATCATGACATACCTTTAATGCTGATGGCCCCCTCTGGGCTTTCTCAGGTTTCCTCTAGTCTGTCACTGCTTTGCAGGATTGATGTTCATAGCAACAGTGGGCTTTGGGGAATGGCCAAAAGGAGCCCTGGGGGGCAAGGTGTAGATAAGCTGTTTCCATGGGTATCTCTCTAGGGAACCCAGAACTTGCCTAATGTGAATTGCTTTACCCCACAGTCTAATTACTGAGGGTACCCTCTTAGTTCACTTGGGCTGCTGTAACAGTGCCATAAACTGCCTGGTCTATGAACAAGAAAAATGCCTTCTTCAGCTTCCCCTCTTTTCCAGTCTTACCATGGTTAATGGTGATACTACCTAATCAAGTCTTGACCCTGAGCTTGAAAATTTGGAATTACCTGTACTCTTCCTACTCCATACATCCTACAGTGAATAAGTTTACCAAGTTCTATTTGCTTGTTCTAGCTCCAGAAATCTCTTTCAAATCCTACTACTGTCTCATCTCCAATGTCATTTATTTCTCCCCTAGACTGTTTCAGCATCTCTCTCTCTCTCTCTCTCTCTCTTTTTTTTTTTTTTTTTTTGACAGGCAGAGTGGACAGTGAGAGACAGAGAGAAAGGTCTTATTTTTCCATTGGTTCACCCCCACAGTGGCCGCTGCGGCCGGCGCACTGCGCTGATCCGAAACCAGGAGCCAGGTGCTTCTGGTCTCCCATGCGGGTGCAGGGCCCAAGCACTTGGGCCATCCTCCACTGCACTCCCGGGCCACAGCAGAGAGCTGGACTGGAAGAGGGGCAACCGGGACAGAATCCAGCGCCCTAACTGGGACTAGAACCCGGTGTGCCGGCGCTGCAGGCAGAGGATTAGCCTAGTGAGCCACGACGCCGGCTCAGCATCTCTTAACTAAGATTTTTATTGCCAATCTTTCTCTTCTATCACCAAGTTATCTTTTTTTAAGTTAAAAATTCATGCCTTTTGCTTTGTTTTATTGTTATTGTTTTGTAATTTGTTTCTTTTTAAAAAAGTTTACTTTTATTTCTTGTCATCTGTTTGAAAGAGTGAGAGGAAGAGAAGGAGAGAGAGCGAGCTAGAGTGAGCTCCCATTTACTGGTTCACTCTCCAAACGCCTGCAGTTGCAAGGACTAGACCAGGCCACAGCCAGGAGTCAGGAACTGAATCCAAGTCTCCAACTACTTGAGCCATCATCTGCTACCTGCCAGGATGTGCATTAGTACAAGCTAGAATCAGAATCAGAAGTGGACCAGAACTTGAACCCAAAGACTCTGATATGGGATATGGGCCTCCCAAGTAGCATCTTAACCTCTACCCCAATGCCTATCCCCTTTTAATCCTTTTAAAATAGTATAAGTTTTATTCTCTGTTATTGTTATTGTCCCCTGGGTAGATAGGCCTTCCTCAGCGCTCGTAGCACTTAAGCATTCTTTCTATTGCTTTTCCCTGAAGAGTTAATTTGTGTGTGTGCCTGTGTATGTGTGTACAGGTTCATGTGTACCTGTCCCAGTAGATTGTACTCACGACCAGGAATGAGGATATTTACCTGGGTGCTTCCCCAGCGCCATGCCTTGAAATGGTGTGAACTTATTTTGTGCAGGCCAGTATGGAGGATTGTAAACAGGATTAAGAACTGGTCTGTCCTCAAGGCTCTCACCACCTGGAGTCAGGGAGATAAGAAAGAGATGACCTGGGCAGGTTGTGATAACCTCACAGAGCTGTAGAGAGCTTATCACAAATGAATATTTGAGGAGAGCTGAAAGGGAGAGATGAATTCTCATGAATGAGATAGGTAAGTTCACAGGTGAAAGGCCTTTTCTCTCGCTTGTGCCAGATCTGAGGCTGCATTCCATGGTAAGATCTGGTCCCTAAGTTTATGAGTTTTGCAGTCAGGTGGGGCCATAGAGTAGGGATTGGCAGACTGTTGCCTGTTGGCCAGATCTGGCTCTCTGCCTGTTTTTGTATGGACTATGAGCTGAGAATGATTTTTATAGTTTTTTAAGTTTTTTTTTTAAAGAATATTTTGTGACACATGAAAATTGTGTGAAATTGAAGTTTCAGTGCTGTAGTCAAATGAACAGTGACTGCATTTGCACAATAGCAGAATTTATTTGTAACAGAGCATGCTTGGTTTACAGGGCCTAAAATATTTACTGTCTGGCTCTTGTTGCTGGCTGCTGGGTTAGAGAATGAGAAAGATTGAAATAAAGTAGAGAAGAAGAGAAATGATGTTCATATTGAGAGCACTGGTTTGGGTTAGGAGAGTGGCATGTTCACCACTTGGCAGTCATGTAGAAGCTTTAGGCCTGACGCGATGATCTAGCTCAACCGCCTCATTTTCCAGAATAGGCAGAAGGTCAGAAATCCTGTCAAAGTCCACATGGCTCGTAAGTGGCAGTGTCAGATGGAGTGACTGGTACAGCCTAGGGCTGTTGAGGGTGATAAGTTTATTGCTGAGGTGGGGCAGAGCCTCAGTGACCTTGCTCTTGAAAAATAAGTTGAACAAAAGACTGTCTTCACTTCCTGAATGTAATGTTTCTGATTTGTTTTTTGTATTTCTAGAAGGCCTTTGAGCCATACTTTGAGATTTTGGAAGCATACTCCACGAAAGCCAAGAATTATGTTAATGGGCATTGCACCAAATACGAACCCTGGCAGCTGATTGCATGGAGTGTCCTCTGGACTCTGCTGTTGGTCTGGGTGTATGAGTTTGTCTTCCAGCCAGAGAGTAAGTATATTGTTGTCTCCGTAAAGGTATAGTGGAGCGTCGCCAGCCTTGGGACTCACAGCTAAAGGATTGAACTGATTTCTTGCCTTTTGTTTGGGTTTTGGTTTTAAAATCTATTTAAATGGAAATCAGTACAATGTCTTCTGATTGGAAAGGTTATAATAAAACTGTTGTGTGACTGTTTCTGTTCTTTTTTTTTTTTTTTTAATATCTATAGCTGAAGTAAAACTCTTTGAAAGTTAGTTATTGCCAGATGCACAGAAAGCCTGGAGGATGGCTTAGGCCTTCTTCAGTGCCAGTTTCTTTCCTCAACATAATTGCATCGTAATGGAGTTCCTAGAGTAGAAATGTGCTGCTTTTGTTTGGGGCCATCTTTTTCAATAAGCATTGTAAAAATTGAAGCAGCACTCATGTGGTGGTCCCTTGACTGCTTGTTTTGTGCCAGGTGCTGCAGTGGGGATGTCTGCACAGGTAATGCAAGGCTGCTGACCTGAATTGAACTTCAGATGTGAGGGGCCAGTGTGCTTTGAGCTTTCCTGGTAGTGACTCAGGTTGACAGGGAGAAACAGGAAGCTACTTCTCAGGGAGTGCAGATCAGTCTCCTAGTGCCGCCCTCGTAAACCCTCCGCCCTTCCCGAGCCCCTTCCCTCCCCACTGGCGTCCTCCCCCTAGACACCTGGTTGCCTGCGGCCATGTGGCTACTGCTTCCTGCTCCCCCACTGGCTGTGCTTGGGCAGTTTTGATTGTGCCTGAGTAGAAATAGTAGATGTAGTGCACTGCACCCTTTCCCCCTCTTGCTGGGGTACGTCTGCAGTACTTTCTTAGGATAAGAGGCTAGTGACATTGGAGAGAATTCCTGATCGTTTTTCATTGTTTGAAATGTCCACAATGCTTTGCTGCTTTGATAACATCTGTTTGAAGCAGCTCTTTAACTGTATTTTTCTGCTTTTCTTTGTTTTTCTGAACAAAATCTGATTTAGAAGCCAGATTCTGTTTTTTACCTCTTTGCCGTACAGATGGCCATCAAGCTGCTCTAGGCACAATTACACAGTTACAGTGTGGTAAACATTGTAAAACACGACACCCAAGAAGTATATGCCACTGCTGCCAGAGCTTTTTAATTAAAGTGGAAATGAGAGGAGACTGTCCTGTCTGAGAACTCAGTCCTCAATTCCTGCTCCTGTCCTTTCCAGAGTCTCTCTTAAACTTTGACAGATGAGGCTGACGAGCACTTGTGCTGCATCTGCTCAGTGGATTGGGAAAGGACACATCCCACGTGGTTCTGCCCAGGCCTGTTCCTTTCCCAGGAAGCATTTGCTTTGATGAGTGGGATGCTCTGGTCCAGAGGACTCTAAAGAAGAGCAGTAGATGTATTTTTCTTTCTTACACAATGAATGTGATTATATATTTATTATATATTTACATATAACATATACTATATAAATATAGTTTATAAATTTAATATATTTTTATATTTTATATAATTCTATATCATATATATATAACATAAAATTTACCATTTGAACTGTTAAAATTTTTTTTGTTTAGATATTTGGATGCAGTAGGCAGAGAGAGAGAGAGAATGTCAAGAGAGCTCACATCTACTGGCTTACTCCCTGTGTGCCTGCAATGGCTGAGACTGGGCTAGAGCCAGGAGCTTGGGACAGAATCTGCATCTTCCCCACAGGTGACAGAAACCCAACCCCTTGAGCCATCATCACGGCCTCCCCAGCTTTGCATTAGCAGGAATGCTGGATTAGGAACCTGAAATCAAAACCAGGCACTTCAATGTGGAATACTGGTGTCTTAACCATTAGGCTAAACGTCCAGCCATGTTGCTTTGAACACATTGTATGTGTACATGGATGTGTAAGTGGAGCTGAGAAACATGCATTACCTCACCCGATTCTCATTAACTGTGGGCAGGTATTTCTGTTTTCAGTTTCATAGCTCACTGTGCCTTGCCTGTGTTTTGCTTATTTGGGAGTGTAGAGGCACAGCCATCTTAGGTGTATTTACTTGGCTGCCTTTCGTGTTCAAAAAGAAATATGCTGGCCTATGAGGATTGCATGAGACAAATAATCGTAGTGAAACTGGAATTTGGGGTGCCATATGATATCGCTGTGCGCTTATTAAAAAGTTCCCAATACTAGTAAGCCCATGTGGGTTCTTCCCTAATATCCAGAGGAGAATTCTGAATACCTGCATAAATCAATGAGGCAGCATGGTACATTTTTTAAATTTAATTTGACAACTATAGACAGTGAGAGAGACAGAGAGAAAGGTCTTCCTTCCGTTGGTTCACTCCTCAAATGGACACTATGGCCAGTGCTGCGCTGATCCAAAGCCAGGAGCCAGGTGCTTCTCCCTGGTCTCTCATGCGGGTGCAGGGCCCAAGCACTTGGGCCATCCTCCACTGCACTCCTGGGCCACAGCAGAGAGCTGGACTGGAAGAGGAGCAACCGGGACTAGAACCTGGTGCCCATATGGGATGCTGGTGCCACAGGCGGAGGATTAACCCAAGTGAGCCATGGCGCCGGCCCCAAGCATGGTACATTTTTAAGCTTTTATTCAATGAGAAAGATGCATAGGAGAGTGAGGGCTTTATCTATAGGAACGAGGTAAATCTGGGTTCATACCGAGTACCAGGAACCAGTCACGTGGAGGAGCATCTGGGGCGGATGGCCCAAAGGCCAGGGTGGCCACAAACCCCTACTGGCAAAAGCAAGGAAGGGATGGGCACACCTAAGTATGAAGCAAGGAAGGGGCGGGCACACTGTGTCCCAGGCTTTTAATCCACTTTCAAAGGGGAGTGGTTCATTAACATGATTGGCCAGCGGTTTCATAGGCGTGGCCAGCTAGGGGAAGAGGGGCGTGATGAAGGCGTGGTCTTCCAGCTTACTAACCTAATCAATTTTAGCATGTTTGCCTGCCTACATCAATAGCAGTGTATTAATGATACGCCATCTAACTCTTTCTGAACTGAATGGACTCCAAGTTAGTATTTTTTTTTTTTAATATTTATTTATTTTTTTGAAAGGCAGAGAGAGGTCTTCCATCTGCTGGTTCGTTCCCCAAATGGCCACAATAGCCAGAGCTGGGCTGATCCAAAGGCAGGAGCCAGGAGCTTCTTCTGAGTCTCCCATGTGGATGCAGGGGCCCAAGGAGTTGGACCTTCTACTGCTTTCCCAGGCCATAATAGAGGGCTGGATCGGAAGAGGAGCAGCCAGGACTCAAACTGGCACCCATGCAGGATGCTGGCGCTGCTGGTGGCTTTCCCTGCTACACAACAGTGCCGGACCCCAAGTTAGTGATTTTTAATAACAGATTTCCTCCTATTGTAGAAACAGTGCATATTGACTGTAGGAAATTTAAACAATATGGATAAGCCGGAAGAACAAAAGTAAACCCTTGCCGCTGAGGGATGCTACTTTTTGTATATCTGTGTCTACATCTGGATCAGGTTGAACCATATGAAATGCACATTTATAGATCAAAAGTTATCGAATGTTTTCAGAGTCATACAGTTTAACACAAAGACACACAACACATTTTTATGTTGTACTTCCAAAATAAATTTTAGACATATACAAGAATGTCTTCCCTCCAGAGATCAGGGAAAACTTGGACAGATTGTCATTTTTTCTCCCGCCACCTTATTCAGGTTGTATTATGCTACATATCACTGAATAATCAAGCTATGCTTAGTATATTGATTAGAAGAACCTTAAATCTGGACTAGTGGTGAATTTTGCTGATCTTTAAACTTTGAATTCCCTCCTGGGTGGAAGAGCACATAATTCTGGAGCAAAGACCGGGAGCTGGGATGGGGGAACTGAAAGGCAGTGGAGTTTGGGTGGAGCTGTTATCTTTTGCTCACCTCTGCTCTATGAAAATCAGCACAGAGCTGATAGCTTTCAAAAACAGGTTGCTGATTTGACCTGTGGCATTGTCCATAGTTTATCACCAGAATCAAATTTTACCTGGGGGGAGGAGGTGATAAATACTTGGCATTGTAATGCCTGCCTCACCCACTCACAGGTGGAGGGGGATGAATGTCATGTGCATGAAAGGAACTTGTAGAGAGCCATGCACTGTTGTTATAATGGCATTTCCTATTCTTTTTTTTTTTTTTAATGAACAAAAATTCCTTTGTATAATGTGACATTTTGTAATATGTTTACATCGCTAAGTCAAGCTGATTAATGTATATGTTACCTCATGTCCTTATTTTTCTGTGGTGGAAACACTTTCCTGCTCTGTTAGCAATTTTCCCATCTGGAAATTGTCATTACTTACTGTGTCCACCATAATGTACAATAGATTTCTTGAGCTGATTCCTGCCATGTAACTGGAATTTTGTATCCTTTGGCCAATACCTCCATAAGCCTCACCCTCCTGCCCAGCTTCCAGTAACCACTGCTAGAAAATTGTAATTACTTTTCTTTCTGTGCCTCTTAGGACTTCTACTTTTTTTTCTTTTTTTTTAAGATTTATTTATTTACTTGAAAGTCAGAGTTACCCAGAGAGAGAGAGAGAGAGAGGTATTCCATCTGCTAGTTCACTCCCCAGATGGCCACAGTGGCCAGAGCTGAGCCAGTCCAAAGCCAGGAGCCAGGCTGGATCTCCCAGGTGGGGGGCAGGAGCCCAAGGACTTGGGCCATCTTCTAATGCTTTCCCAGGCCACAGCAGAGAGCTGGACTGGAAGTAGAGCAGCTGGGACTCGAACCAGCGCCCTTATAGGATGCTGGCACTGTAGGCGGCGGCTTTACCTGTTACACCACAGCGCCAGCCCCGACTTCTACTTTTGAGGTCATGACCACATGATCTGTTCATTTTAAGTATCTCCATTTCTGATCCTGTGTCTTTTTCTTTTTGCCCTGTACCATTTTTTTCTCACAAGTTTCACAATCTCATTCTATTATTTTGTCCTCTTCCTAGTCGTATGACTGGTTTGCTGAATTTTAGACTTCTTGTCTTCTTATTAATAAGTTTGTTTAACTTTGTCAGAAATAGTTTATTAACAAGAAGTTTAACTATGCAAATTTAGAGTATACTTATTTGATGGCTTATGATAACAGTTAAAATATATTTGGGAAGAGTTTGCAACATAGAGAATGCTTTATGAGAGAAGAGGATATAGTTGCTTTACATAAAATAATATCTCAGTGGTATATTACAATATGTAGGACATAGGACAGGAAGGAAGTGCTTCAAGAGTTAGAGAAAAAAGTAACCACAAGCATGTGATTTCAGTCCCTTTGTCTTACTGTGCAGTCTGTGTCTCAGCTGCTTTTGTCCCAGGCAGTTACAGTAGTGCCTACAGGGCGAGGCACTGTCGGGGGAGATGGAAAGACAGGGATGCGTCCTAAGCAGAACCAACCAGCAAACGTGCAAGACGTCTTTATGAAGGCTTGAATTAAATCCCTGCTCGGTCACTGGTCATCAGATCTTGGGAAGTTTCAGTGCTGCCTTTTGTATGGGAGATAACGCCTCGTGTGCTAACCTCATAGGTGGTTAAAGTTATCATCAGCGCCAGAGGAGACACGTTGCATGTGAATGTGTTGAAAGGCAGGCCAGTCTATTTAGATGCCGGCCGTCTTTGTGATTGCTGTAACTGGCAGGTTAGAATTCTGGATTTGTCCTTTGTGCTGCCTGACGGAACGGACCCTGATTGGTGTCCTTGGTGTTGAAAGGCTTCTTAGGTCCAGTCAGTGCTAATAGGACTGGTGTTGGATGAGAGACCGGAGTGTTGATGCGAAAACAGATATGGGTTGGTCACATGCTGGGCAGAGGGAAGAGAAATGTGAGGTTTCTGGACACCTTGCAGGGTCAGATACTCTGAAATACATACATCATTTGACCTTGGCGTTCTTGGGGTACATCTTGTAGATGACATGTGTGTATACCATGTAGTGTGTGTTACAAGGTTCTTTATTTGGCATGGTTTGTATAACAGAGAAATATTACAAACAACCCACATCCATTAGAAAGGGGCAAATTGAATTATGGTAAACTTGTATAATGGAATACTCCAGCTATAAAAATGAATGAAGAAGCTCTCACCTTTAAGGTTGAAAAACAAGGTCTATTCTAGTACTAGAGTATGGCACCTTTTGGGTAAAATGGAGACTGGAATGTGTGCACATGAGGGAACTCTGGAAGCTCTAGAAGGTTGGACTGAAGCTGAGGTGGTGCTCACCTCCAGTGAGGTGAGCATCCCTGGGGCTAGGCGCAGGAAAAAGAAAATCATCATTGTGTGTGCTCACTTTTCTTCTGTAATACAAAACTTAGATATATTACTTATTAAAAAAATCAAATTGAAAAAGTCTTTATTTTGGAAGAAACTACCTTTGCCATCTGAAGGCAGGTTAGGTTGTGGGAGACACATGGCCTAGTAGGCCTTATCCACTTATTACTTGAATAATACAACATTTGTTTCTTTTAGGCTTGTGGTCAAGATTTAAAAAAAAATGGTTTAAGCTCACCAGAAAGATGCCTATTATTGGCCGCAAGGTAAGTAGAATCTACCTGGATCTCTTCTCTTTGTGTTTATTTAACCTAGTATTTTCAAAGGCAAAGTATAATTCTGTCCTCCAGCTCCAGGGGACATTTGGCCATGGTTGTGATGAGGTGAGTAGAGTGATACTGGCATCTGGTGGACAGTGGCCAAGGAGGTACCAACCGTCCTACACTGCCCAGGGCAGCCCCTGTAACAGAGAGCTATCTGGGTGATAACCACAGAAAGGGCTTGTGTTGTGGCAGAGTGGGTTAAGGCTCTGTGTGCCATGCCCGCATCCCATATGGATGCTAGTTCAAGTCTCAGCTGCTCCACTTCAAATCCAACTCCTTGCTAATGCACCTGGGAAAGCAGTAGAAGATGGCATAAGTGCCTTGGCCCCTGCACTCACCCAGATGGAGTTCCTGGCTCCTGGCTTCATCTTGGCCCAGCCCATGCTGTTGTGGTCATTTGGGGAGTGAACCAGCTGGTGGAAATCTCTCTGACTCTCCCTTTCTCTGTCAGTCCGCCTTCCAGATGAATACATAAATCTTGAAAACACATACACACACTCCAAAGGGCGCAAGTTGAGAATCCCAAACTTAACCCTTTCTCCAACATGTTTGACCAAAGGACAGAAGAAAAGTCTGTTAAGGAAGAAAAATTCAAAATTAGAGCATGTGACTTAAGTGTTATCGTGCTTCAGAACATTATTTGGCTGTGGTGAATGTAGATACTTATCTAGGAGTTGGGTGATTACATGGTTCAGGTCAGGGTTGACAAACTTTCCAGGGCTAGCTAGTAAACATTTGAGGCTCTATGATGTCTGTTCTTACTGTATCTGTGGCAGCTTCTCAACTCTGCCCCTGTAAAGGAAAGAGGAAGGTAGGGTAAGGAATGAGCCTGGGGGCAGGCGCCGTGGCTCACTTGGTTAATCCTCCGCCTGTGGCACCAGCATCCCACATGGGCGCTGAGTTCTAGTCCTGGCTGCTCCTCTTCCAGTCCAGCTCTCTGCTGTGGCCCGGGAAGGCAGTGGAGGATGGCCCAAGTGCTTAGGCCCCTGCACCTGCATGGGAGACCAGGAGGAAGTACCTGGCTCCTGGCTTCGGATGGGCGTAGCTCTGGTCGTGGTGGCCATTTGGGGAGTGAACCAATGGAAGGAAGACCTTTCTCTCTGTCTCTCTCACTGTCTAACTCTATCTGTAAAAAAAAAAAAAAAAGAATGAGCCTGGCTGTGTTCCTGTGAAACTTTCCTACAAAACAGTTGGGACTGCTTGGGCCCCTGGTGTGATAGGTGATCCCAGGTATAAAACTGTAATGAGATAACATATCTGTCCTCTTGCTCTTTGTATTCTTTGTAGTATAGTTGTTTCCTTCTCCATACCTTATCTGCCCTCACTCATACTGAGAAGATACCACCTCTGCCCTTCCTACAAGGGCAGGTGGTATCACAGGTGAAGATAAACAGGGCAGGGGCTGGGACTGTGGCATGGCGGGTTAAGCTGCTGCCTAGGACTCTGGCATTCCACACTGGAGTTCTGGTCTCCCAACTGCTCTGCTTCTAATACAGCTCCCTGCTAATGCACCTGGGAAAGCAGTAGAAGATAGCACAAGTACCTGGGCCTCTGTCACCCAGGTGGGACACCTGGGTGGAATTCCAGGCTTCTGTCTTCAGCCTGGCCTAGCCTCAGCAGTTGTGGCCATTTGGAGAGGGAATCAGCAAATAGAAGAGCTCTTTCTCTGTTTCTCCCCCTCTCTTACTCTGCCTTTCAAATAAGTAAAGTAAATCTTAAAAAATAAAAAGATAAACAGGGAAACAGGGCAGGCTGCTTGCAAGCTCTGCAGAAGGCAGGTGAGGCCTTGGTGTCTGCCTCTTCCCCAATGCCCTGTCTTGCCCCTCAGCTTTCCTTTGCTCTTTTTTTTAAATTAAAGATTTATTTATTTATTTGAAAGGCAGAGTTAGAGAGAGAGAGAGAGATCTTCCATTTGTTGGTTCACTTCCTAGATGGCTGCAGCAGCCAGAGCTGGGCCAATCTGAAGCCAGGAGCTTCATCTGGGTTTCCCACGTGAGTACAGGAGCCCAAGCACTGGGACCATCTTCTGAAGCTCTTCTAGGCAGATTTGCAGAGAGCTGGGTCAGAAGTAGAGCAGCCAGGACACAAGCTGGCACCCATGTGGGATGCTGCACTGCAGGCAGTGGCTTTACCTGCTGAGCCACAGCACCAGCCCTTCTTTTGCTCTTTCCCACCCTTACCTACCTTCAAGTTTCCTTTCACTTCTGACTTCTAATTTCCCTTCATTTTTCCTGACAAAACCAGAAAAGATGGCAAGTATCTTTAGCCTTTGGCCTGAATCCAGTCAGGTAACTGTGCTTACCGTCCTAGAAATCTCTGTTTGCAGGTTCATTTCCTCTTGTGGAAGCGGTAGCAGGGGTGCTGAGGGCAGTGAGGCTTCTGTTTGCTCCCTAAATCATATTGAACCTTCGAATCATCAGTTGTAGTCTTCACAGAGTAAGGGATGGAGCGGGCAGGAAGGTGCAGATGGACTGAGTCGCGGGACAGTGGGATTTCCTTCCACGCCTACGTTTCTTCTGTCCTTTCCTTTCTTGTTTTTCTACTTCAGTTTCTAGATTTTGAGAGAAAAAAATACTAGGATTCCAGAACCTGTTCTTAAATTTAGAGGAAAGAACAGAATTGGAAGACCCTTAGTGACTGTCCACTCACCCTTCGTTTTTCAGTAGCAGATTCTGAGTCTTAGGATCGGTGTTGTTTCATGTGTGTGTGGGCAGGTGCACCTGCCTGTTTCCTCCTCTCACTCATACTCTGCACTCAACACGTGTTCACTGAGCACCAGCTGAGCCTCAGATGCTTTGCTCAATGCGAGCTAGACCAAACCCTTCCTTTCATGGAACTTACGTTTTAGTATGAAAGACAAGCCCATAAGAATTGCGTTTTAGAATGAATGCTGTGAAGAAAGTAAAATTGAGTAGTGCAGCTGAGGCTCTGAGGCAAGGATTGGGAGTGTTTTCTCACACAGTCACACGGCATTGTGACTTTATTGGTCTTCTATGAGAACAGCATTGTTTATACATGGAAGCTCCGCTCTCACAGTTTGTTTCTGGTGCATGGTCGCCATTTATGCTGTATAGTTTTTTATTTACAACTTTAAAAATATCTCCATGTGCTATTGTCATGCACCGGCATTACTTGGGATTGTGGTCCTATTACCTGCCCACCTTGCCTGTTTGACTCTTGCAGATGTCACAGAAGTACCTTTCCCTGTGGTTTCGTGGGGGCGGCTGGGAACAGGGAGTGTGCAAATCTAAGATCCTCTTGTGCTCTCGTCTGTGGCTACAGCTGAGAAAAATCTGTATTAGAGATTTTAGGCATCACACGTTAGCAAATATGAGAGGGTACTTCAAAAAAGTTTGTAGAAAATTTGAGTTAAACGTAAGTTTAATTTTATGCAAAGAAAATTGGCAGTCTGTGCATAGTTTTTTCATAATGGGTATTTTCCACGAACTTTCGGAAGACCTGTTGTATTGTTGAAACTAGTACTGTGGCATGAATTGTGACATGTAGTCTCTCTGCCCAAGAGTCTCTGCCCAGGAATAGCTCCCTGCCACTCTGCCTCCCTACTTTGATCTGTTTTTTTCCCCCAGTACTTTTTATTACATAGATTTTGCTTTCTGTATCTCCTGCTAACAATAATCTTCATGAGAACAGAGGTTTCTTTTCACCATGTTGTTTTATTCACTCTGTATACCTATCCTACGGTAGCTGTTCAGCACATACTTGTTAAGCAGGTTGAATGGGTGAAGGAGTGAAAGACAATGACTCAGAAGCTGAGGCTGGGAGCCTGGAAGAGCAGTAACCACAGCTGATAAATTACATTACCGAAAGGACCTTAGTTTCTTCTAGCATTTCACGGTCAGGCAGTACAGGCTGTCCATAGCACCCTAAGGAGCTAGAATGCAGACTTGCTGGCCATTCTTAATCCTTGTGCCTGTGTACAGAGAGTCATGTGAGCCGTCCAAATTCCTGGTATGCTCTGTGGAAGGAACTCATCACTTACACAGGACCACAACCTTTTTTACTACATCTTGCCTAGTTTTCCTAACTACTATTCGTGACTGTACCTTTCTTGCTATCTCACATACATACTGTATCTGCTGCCAAGGCAGGAACGAGGTCCAAACACTGCCCTCAGAGAAATGCTGAGCTCAGCAATTGCAAACCAGATCTAGCAGTGGTGATGTCAACAGGGCAGAGAAAAGAGGTGTGGGGAAATTCAGTGCATCTTTGACCTTTAGGGAGGTTAGCCTTCCAAACTTCTGGGAGACGGTTGTACATGCCAGAAAACAGCTGAACGGTGGAAATATCATTGGATCTTTGAAAAGAATCTTATTTGTGTATTCTCATTTTGTTTGAAAGAGAGAAGAGAAAGACCTTCTGTGTGCCCATTCAGTATGCCAATGCCCACGGCAGCCAGGGCTGGGCCAAACCAAAGCCAGGAGCCCAGAACTTCATCCAGGTTCTTCTGTAGGTGGCAGGGACACAAGAACCTAAGCCATCATCTGCTGCTTCCCGGGGTACACAGTAGCAGTAATGGATAGGAAGTGCAGTAGCCAAGACTGGGACTGCAGTCAGCACTCTGGTGTAGGATGCTGTGTCCCAGCTGAGACTTAACTGTTGCACCCAACACCTGCCCCACACCACATGTTTTTAAGAAGAAACCTGCGATCTTAGTTCAGTTGACTGGACATTATAACTGGTTGTTCTGTTCTTTGTACTGCACTCTTTGCTAACCTTGTCTTTCTTTCCTTTGGAGATTGAAGCCAAGTTGAACCAGACCAAGGATGATATTAACAAGCACTTGTCCTTCCTGAAAGTGAACAAGGAGTACGTGAAAGCCTTGCCCTCCCAGGGTCTAAGCTCATCTGCAGTTCTGGAGAAACTCAAGGAGTACAGCTCTATGGGTATGTGCTCAGCCTGCACAGGGTCTGCTTCCGTAAAATGGCTAGTTAGGGGTCACTTACTGTTTGAACATTAGTAACTCATCCCTGCTACTACCAGCGTATGGTCAGGAGGGCCTGTTCTCTCTCTCAGGCTGAATTTAATATTTTTGAAAATTATGTTAGATTAATCTTTTATCTATAAGGCAAGTGAATACTAGACAGTGGAACTTGGTTCTGTTTTCTCTTACAAGCATGAATAAAATGTGTATTTGTGTTTTAAAAAGAATCCATTGTGAAATCAGTATAATGGCACCAAAGGAAAAGTCACTGTATTTCCGTAATCAAAAGGTAAACACAGGTATTAGGTTTATATCTGTCCATATGCACAGGTATAGAGACAGTTCTATCTGTATATACATTTCAGAATGTTGGAGTACAGTGTGTGAGTGTGGGTACACATGTCTGTGATCGTGGTGGGAGGGATAGATTGACCAGGTAGCTTAATGTTATGAGTGTAGCCTGTAGAAGCAGTCTGGAGTTATGTCCTGGTTTTGCCACTGAAAGGATGACCTTGGGGGAGTTACACAAATTTTGTATGCCACAGTTTCTGTGTGTCTACAGTCTACTTATCTGAAAGGATAGTTGAGATTAAATGAGATCTTAAGTGTAAATGGTAGATAGAGCATGTCATATTGTAAGTGCTTAATAAATGTTAACTATTGTTGCTGCTCTTACTAACAGAAACACATGCATATTTATTATAGGTTGAAGTCATACTTTTAGAAATAAGCTTTTTAGTTTGGTAGTATTTTAGATGTATAGAGAAGCAGAGGGGCCGGTGCTGTGGCATAGCAGGTTAAGCTGCTGTCTACAGTGCTGGCATCCCATATGGGTACGGTCGAGTCCCAGCTGCTCCACTTCTTATCCAGCTCCCTGCTAACGTGCCTAGGAAACCAGCAGAGGATGGCCCAAGTCCTTGGGCCCCTGTACCCACGTGGGAGACCTAGGTGAAGGTCCTGGCTCCTGGCTTTAGCCTGGCTGTTGTGGCCATTTGTGGAGTGAACCTGTGGATGGCAGATCTCTGACTGTGTCTCCCTTTCATTGTGGAATTCTGACTTTCAAATAAATAAGTAAATCTTTAGAAGAAAAAAGAAAAGTAGAAAAATGATGACAGAGATTTCTCATATGCTACTCACCCAACTTCATCTGATAGTAATATTCTATATAATCATGGTACATTTGTCAAAATTGAAGAATTAACATTGGCACACTATTATCAACTAAACTATAAATTCTATTTCCATTTCATCAGTTTTTATACTCATGTCATTTTTACTAATCCAGGATCTAATCGAGGATATCATGTTGCATTTTAGCAAATACCTTGTAAAATTTCTAATTGATGTGTGTTGAGTTTTTTGCCATTAGATGGCACAAAAGTAGACACAGTTTAGGCAATAGAATACATAAAACAAGGAGATTAGTACCCTGAGATCTGTCTTAAATATTTCTGTGATTTTGAGGGCTGCTGTTTGCTGCCACCCGATTTCCTTCCCTTCAGTTTTTAGATCACTGTCCGCGGCACCAAAGAACAGGAAATGAAACCTTGTGTACTATTTTTGAGAGGCTGGTCACCATGGGTCCAAAGACAAGCATGGTACCTATCAGCATCTTCTAAAGAGAGTGCAAATCAGACTGGCAGCTGGCGGAGCTTGGCAGGTTGCTGTGAGCATGAGGAATTTGTCCAAATGCTCACTACTCAGCCTTCTGCTCTCGTTAGACCTGCAGATCGTTGGTTGTAGAGCTCATGGGTGTGTGCAGCTTCTAGCTAGTGTGTTTCTGTGATTGCTTTCTCACTACCCATAGCCATGCTGTAGCAAGAAGACTGACACCTGCATCAACAGGTTGTTGGGCTGTGTAGAATGTCTCTGGGGTGCACCTCATACAGGAAGTGAAAAACCTGATTTTGTATTCTGGTCAGGGACTTCACTGTTCTAGTCTTGCAGGACACAACATAAGCTGCTGGAAGCAAGCTGTTTTGTGGGGCCCCTGAAACGAGGGTGCCTGTGATTCATTCCTGCTCATGGTTTGTTTTGTTCTTTTCTACTGACTACTTGTAGCCGTTTCCACACTTCCCCGTGTCGGGCTAGGATGGGAGAGGAGGAGGAAGCCATTGCAGAAAAGGCCACTGTGAAGCTCTGCTGAGAACAGGAAGTGGCGGCAGACAAAGGACAGTTTTCCTGCTGTTAGAAGGCAGTTGAGGATATGGCAGTGCTGTCTTTATTGGCCTCCTTGCTGTTTATTCCTTTCCCACATTGTTGTTGACACTAATTGATGGTCTCTTATCTTGCTATGGGTGCTGTTAATATCTTCACACAGTTGTCCATACTAATGGATGAGCTTTCCTCTTTATCTGACTGTGGTAGCTGTGGATTGACATTCTTTGTTCCTTGATTTACTGTGAGAATGCCACTGGGTTTCAGCTGATGTTTTTTTCTTTCTTTTGCACCCAGAGGAGTGTCTTCCTGATTCTGCTTTGATAGTACCTGCCTTCCTGGTGATCTCTGCTTACTCACCCGTGCCCTCACCTTTCTCTGCAGATGTCTTTTGGCAAGAAGGGAAGGCCTCCGGAGCAGTGTACAGTGGCGAGGAGAAGCTCACTGAGCTGCTCGTCAAGGTGAGTGGTGGGGGCTGGAGGGCAGCGCAGGTGCCCTGTGCTGGTTTGTGTGACCTTGACCTTCCTCTACACTTCTGCAGTTTAAAAAAGTGACATATGGAAAAGGTATTGTTAACAAAACCATAGAAACAGAAAGTGTTTGTTTGCCCAAACATATGCAAGTGTGTGTAATGCTGTCAAAGACACCTTCGGTCTGTAAGGAGTAATGTTACATGCGTCCAGGCTTCATAGGTGTCACTCGGAAAGGTGGCCTGTCGTTTGAGGATTTTAATGGTAGGATACTTAGTGATTGATAAGAGACAAGGTGGGGACACGTAGTTATAATTTCCTCCAGTCACATGACCTGAGATGTGCAGTTGTCTCACATGTCAGGTAATTACCATTCTTTGTCCACTTTAGAATTATCTTTAGTTTTTTTTCATTTCCGATCAGGCTTCTCTTTGAAGCTCTACTTCATCGCCCACAGTTGAGATTGGACAGATGAGCTCTGCAGTCTTTGTTTCAGCATCATTGTTATGAAGCCGTTCTCACACCCTGTTAAGTAGTGCACGTTGTTGTTCAGCGGTAGCTTGGTATGCTGCTCTTGTGTCTGTGCTTAGAGTCTTCCAGTTGCCTCCTTATCCAGGGGATGAGCCAGGCTCTGTGTAGCAGAGAATACAAGGCCTTCGGGAGCCAGCTCCCGCTTCTTGTTTTAACCACTGCTTTTATTTGCCACGTAGACATTAATCCTGCCTTACCTCTTTACTCAATACTCTGATCACGTTGTTCTCCCACATGTCCCAAGTGAAGAACCCCTGCTCTCAAAGTTCCACTCGGCAGATACTCCAGAGCACTCAGGGAGTTAGTCCCTCTTCAAGGTCCTTTGCACTGTGCACGTAAAGCTACTGTTGCACTCAGTTACTGCAGCTGCCTGATGCTGGACAGACACTAGTAAGGGCTTTGCATGCATTATGTGTGATTTAATTATTGTTCAGACCCTACTAGGTGCAGACCGTAATTTCCCCTCTTGGTGGATGAGGAAGCTGAACCCCAGACAGTTATTTGACCCACACAACTAAAAGTCCTAGGCAAAGCTGTGACTTCAGACTGGTCTGTTTAGTGTTATAGCCTGTGCATTTGTACTTCTGCCTATGCCACATTGTAAAATAATTTATTTATTTGAGTATCTGTCTCCTCTTCTGTATGTTGATTTTTTTTGGTTGGGGAACATCTGACCTTTTTTCTAGTTCCTAGCATTGTGTTGATACCTAAATACTTTGGTGCAGTGCAGGATTCTGTGTCTGATCCAGTGCAGTTGTCCGGCTTCACATCTGCTTGCGTTTCTTTGCAGGCTTATGGGGATTTTGCATGGAGTAATCCACTACATCCAGATATCTTCCCAGGATTACGTAAGATAGAAGCTGAGATTGTGAGAATCGCTTGCTCCCTGTTCAATGGGGGACCGGATTCCTGTGGGTGTGTAAGTATGTGCAAGCAACATGCAATAATCTTTTTTTAGCTTAAAATAGAAGTCTATTTAAAATATTTTAGTATATAGTTTATGATTATTGTAGAAAGATCAGATTAAGTGCAGTTTTAAAATGTTACTTGTAATTTTGTAATTCATAAAGTATCAACATTTTGGTATATGTTTTTCTAGATATTTTATCTCTTTACCTTTTTATTAAAATTTTTTTTTATTCTACATAAAATTGCTGTGATAGTTTAAAAACCACCCTAGGCTTATCAAATATAAATATTTTACCTCATCTACTCTCTGCTTTCTTCCCTTTCTCCCCTGCCTACCCACACACTACCTACCAACTACTTATCTGTATATAGTTTTTTGAATTACCTAGCAGTCTTTTTGCTAAACTATTATACTTGAGCTGAAAGTTTATTATTTTGCTGTAAACCAGACATCATTTAGTTGGCATCAGGAATGAGAAAGGGAGTGTCGCTGTATTTAAGGACACATAGGGGCCGGCGCCGCGACTCACTAGGCTAATCCTCCGCCTTGCAGCGCCGGCACACTGGGTTCTAGTCCCGGTCGGGGTGCCGGATTCTGTCCCGGTTGCCGCTCTTCCAGGCCAGCTCTCTGCTGTGGTCAGGGAGTGCAGTGGAGGATGGCCCAAGTGCTTGGGCCCTGCACCCCATGGGAGACCAGGAGAAGTACCTGGCTCCTGCCATCGGATCAGCGCGGTGCGCCGGCCATGGCAGCCATTGGAGGGTGAACCAACGGCAAAGGAAGACCTTTCTCTCTGTCTCTCTCTCTCACTGTCCACTCTGCCTGTCAAAAAAACACCAAAAAACAAAAACAAAACAAAAAAAAAAAACAAAAACAAACACATAGGAGGATTCCTTGTTTCTTCTGTTTTTTCAAATATATCATTATTTGTTTTCCTGAACTGTGGTGGACAAACTTCTGTTTGAGTTTGTCACTGTAAACTGACATTGCCTTCTCTAGGGAAAAAACCCAAACTTTAGCTTGTATAGGGTAACTGTATTTAACTCAGTGTGCTGTGGTGGCGACCTGGAGGTGCTAGTTCTCTCACATATGTTTACAATCCATTATTTATTTATTTGGAAGGCAGAGTTAGAAAGAGATGGAGAGATGGGGTGGGGGAGATCAGTCTCCCATCTGCTGGTTCATTCCCCAAATGGCCACAATGACCAGTGCTGGGCTAGGCCAAAGCCAGGAGCCAGGAGCTTCATCTGGATCTCCTACATGGGTGGCAAGTGGCCCAAGTACTTGGACCATCGTCTGCTGCTTTTCCCAAGCACATTAGCAGGGAGCTGGATCAGAATTGGAGAAGTGGGGACAGGAACCAGTCCCATACTGGATGCTGGAGTCACAGATGATAGCTTAACCAACTACACCACAATGCTGGCCCCAAGCAGTGTGCTTTTAACTAACATGCTCATACCATGAAAGTCAACATGTAAGTATTCAATAGGTTAAAAGTGGTATTAATTTTTTTAAAGATTTTTTAAGGATTTATTTATTTGAAAGGCAGAGTTACAGAAAGGCAGAGACAGAGAGAGAGAGGTCTTCCATCCGCTGGTTCACTCCCCAAGTGGCCTCAACAGCTGAAGCTAAGCCAATCTAAAGTCAGGAGCCAGGAGTGACAGGGACCCAACTACTTAAGCCATCACTGCCTCTCCGAGTCTGCCTTAATAGGAAGCTGGAGTCCGGAGTAGGAGCTGGGAATCAAACGTATAGATTCCAGTGTGGGATGCTGGTGTCAACCACTAGGCTAAATGCCTGCCCCATGTGAGCTTGAACTTCTTTTATCCTGTGTACTTGAGGATACATGTATTTTATAACTCAGAAATTCTGCTACCCAGAATATACCCTAGAAAAATTATATGCAAGATGTATGTACAAGTACTGAATGTACAATGTAGTGTTATTTGTAATAGCTCAAAACCAGAAATGATTCTGGCTTCTATCCACAGGAGGGCAGGTAAATTACGGAATCCGGTATGTGCGTCAGCCCTTTGTAGTTGTTCCTGACTGATACTCAGTCACTCTCCACCTTTGACCAGGCAGGAGCTCCCGGGTCCTTCTGTGTGACCCAGGTCAGCTTTGGAAGCCTTCTTTGGGCAGAATATTCCAGATTCATCAGATTCAGTTCCTGCTCCTGACACAGTGTCTGCTGTTTGTCCATGGAGCCCAAGTTCAATTTAAACTGTGTAAATCACAATGTTCAAAAGGTTTGTGGAAAATGGAACTATAAGAAAAGTTTACTTTGATGCAGAAAAGTTTGATGCAGAAAAATGTGTGTAATAGGAAAGCAGAATGATGGAGATACGGGTACATATTGTTGTTTTAAACTGTATGACCCACACATTTCCTTGGGAACTTAGAGGGATTCTTTGAGGCCTCATTTGAAGTTAAATTCTTTTAGAGAAGATTTTTGAAGGCTTTTACCAGTTGCTGGAGTTCTCTTGGACCCAGTTTGTGTCAATCAGTTTGTCATTTTGTAACATCCATGTGGTGTAGACTCGGACCACAAATCCACCTGAAGGCCCTCGTCTTTCACATCCTTGAGAGAGTCTTATTTTTCTTTCCCTGAATGTCAGGGTTGAGAACAGCAGTTTTTCTTGCTATCCTTTTCTGTGCAAGCTAAGTTTATTTCTAGTACTCCAAGGAGGGTGGGCTTTTTTCAGCGATTTCTTCCCTGTTAGACTTAATACCTTGGGCAGGCCCTAAATTTATCATTGATCTCTACTCTGTTCCTTTGTGAGCATAGGAGTTTGAAGTCTCCTGGGATTGGCACCATCCTCAGGGGGAAAGCTAGCTTTGATAATCACTTATCTTGCAGGATTATAGATATTGCTTTGTTTAGGGGTTTAGTATATTCCTTGGTTCATGGAAAAATATTTTTAAAGTATTTATTTGTGAGGCAGAGAGAGCCCTCTCCATTTTCTAATTCACTTCTCAAACACCTGCAACGGCCAGGGCTCGCCCAGGCCAAAGCCAGGACCTGGGAACTCAGTCTGGGTCTCCCGTGGGGGTGGCAGGGACCAGCTACTTGAGCCGTCCTGTGCCACCCTCTAGGATGCACACCACAGGAAGCTGGAAATGAGAGCAGAGCTGAGACTCAAACCAGGAACTTGAATTGGGACATGGACATCCAACTGGCATCTTTTAAGATTAATTAATTTATTTTAAAGGCAGAGTTACAGAGAGAAAGGGAGATCACAGAGAGAGATCTTCCATCCGCTGGTTCATTCCCGAAATGGCTGCAATGACCAGGGCTGGCCAAGCCGAACCCAGGAGTCAGGAGCATCATCTGGGTCTCCCATGTGGATGCGGGGGCCTGAGGACTTGGGCCATTTTCTGCTTTCCCAGGTGCTGGATTGGAAGTGAAATGGAGAAGCTGGCACTTGAACTGCCGGCACTGCAGATCATGGCTTAACCCACTGCACCACGGTGCTGGTCCCCCAACTGGCATCTTAACTGCCAAGCACCAGTCCTTTAAAAAATTATTTTAAAAAATGTTTTACCAAACTTTTTAGTTGCTCAAGAAATATAACCTATACTGCTGGAGATAGAAGTTCTGTAATTGCTTTTCCCGACAAAAGACCTTTGTATATTTGAAAACGCTCTTCGCCCTGAATCATCTCTCCCCCTATCTTTTCTGGTTACTCAGCTGCTCATTTGAGTTCACAAATTTCCAGTCATCCCGTTCCTTCTGTAACAAATGCCTTGGGGCTGTCTCTGGTTGGCCAGGCGAACTCAGTTCTCCCAGTGGGGAATGGATTGATCTTTCAGTCTTTTTTAAATCTGGGTTCACTAAATGTATCTCAAACCTTTTCTAAGTATTTTTCTTCTTAACTGTTTATTCTGTTTCTTTCTCTTTCTGGTGTGCTTACTGGTTCTGTATTGGTACATATGCTACTTTGTTGTTTTAGGTCTACAGACCTAAAACACTCTCATTCTGTCAATTACTCTCCAGTCTTTTGAACTCTGATTTCTTATGAATTCATGTTCTTATGACGTTGTCCTAGAGTGGGAGCACTTAGGAGGGATTGCTTCGTTCCCTCGCTTGTTTCCTTCAGGTTGGGCTTTAATTTCGCACGTTACCTAATGCTCCCTCCCCTTCAGTATGTTTGCATCTTAGCTCATCCCAAGGTGGCCCTCTCCAGGCGTCCCATTTGTTTTGATGCATGGTAAGTGGTTCGGGGCAGGATTCAGCGTAGTGTAAGTGCTACATCTGCCTGAGGATCTCTGGGCCTGTGGTGAGCATCTGTGGGAACCTAGCACGATTAGAGCACACTGCCAGTTTGAAGCACCAATACCCTGTGACCACTGATGATGTCTTCATTCATCCTATATCCCTGAGGTCTTCATTCTGAATGTCAGTGCAGTTCTCACTCCCCATTTTGTTCTGTTCTACCTAGCGGACTTGTCACCATTCACCAAGCAGAAGAGGAAGAACATGAGTGAGTGGCCCCTGGCTCCTCTGAGGGTTTGCAGGTGTCAGAGAATCCCTGGCTCCTCTGAGGGTTTGCAGGTGTCAGTGCGAATCCTCGGGAATTTGTTGACTCTCCGGGCTGACGGTGACCTCTGTGTTGCTGTACCTCTGTGCTCCTTGTGCGTTAATGTTTCTCTTTGTTTGTTTGCTTGCCAGTGTTTGTTTATTGTATCAGATTATTTCTCTTTCCTTATTTGATTGTCATTATTGCAGGTTTCAACTTTTTTCCCCCTCAGTATTTCAGATACTGAGGGAGAGAGAAATCTATGAAGGAATTTCTGCCTTCCATCGTGATCCAGAAGCCCAGCGCTGTGGGGGTTTTGCATGGCTACAGTTAAACCCTGTCTCCTTGTGATCTTTAGTGGATATGTCAGGACTGGGAGAAGGGACGAGTCTGAGCCCCAGTCATTTCAGATAGTTGCTTGTCGACTCTGCTGTTATTTGAGTCTGTCTCTCTTTAGTATGCCTGCCCCTCTTTGGTGAAATAAGAGTTCAGTGTGCAGAGGTGGGAGGCCAGGAGACAGTTCTAAGCAGCTGGGCAGTCTTCACGCTGGCCGCGGAGTGAGCATTTAAGCTCCTCTCACTCTTGGTTCTTCAGCCTTTTTTCTTTTAGCTCCTTCCTCAGTCACCATGATGGTTTCATATGCTAAAACACATCAGGTTGCCATGGAAACCCTCTTGGCATGTGCCATCAGGTCTCAACAGCCTCTGAAAGGAAGTTTGCCAAGTAGGTCATGTGCTGCTTTTGTTTTCTGAACTACATACGTTAGTGTTTTAATACCCTCTGAAGAAAGTTGAAAATAACAAGTAGCTACCGAAGCCACTGTTTTCTCACCTCATTAAGTTGCCTTTTTTTTTTTTTTTTTTTTTTGCACATAGGGATGGGGTGAAGAGAGGATTGGGAATGTAGAATTAGATATTTTTGCTTTTATGGTTGAAAATACACTGGAATTCACCTTTTGGCTTGACTGGTTTTGGACCTAATAACGGGATGTGCGAAGTGGGTGACCTGGGATTTAGGGGATTTTTGCTGGGAGGTTGATGCACTGGTGCTGCCCCAGCCTTCTGCACAGCTGGCTTGTCTCCTCATGTGATCTCTGAGGTTTTACCCTGAACCATAGGACACACTGCTGACTTGAGAGCTGACCTCAGCTGTGAGCATTCTGTCTTCTCCAGGACAGCAAGCAGAGGCCAGCAGTGAGTGCGCCATGCCCACGTCCTGTATGTGGTTTGTGGGTGGTGGCCACATGTTTCATGAAGGCTCCTGGAGTCCAGAGATGACTTAACTTTTCTGAGCTGATCTTCCATATAACTTCTGATGACTGCGATTTTGTGTCCAATGATGGTTTTTAGGAAGGTTCAGTAATCCTTTCTGATTCCATTTCTTTTTTTTTCCCCTCTGGTTCCATTTCATAGTAAGTTCTACATAATACTAAACCTAGGAAGTTTTGTTTATCATCAAGTGAATCACTTTGATCTCTCAAGGACTCGTTTTTCTCAACTGTAAAGTGAAAAACTTACCTGAGAGTGTATGACTCTTCAGAGGTGGTAAACTGTCGGTTCAGGGGTAGTTTTTTTTTTTTTTTTTTTTTTTTTTTTAAGATTTATTTATTTATTTGAAAGTCAGAGTTACACAGAGAGAGAAGAGGTAGAGAGAGAGAGAGGCCTTCCATCCACTGGTTCACTCTCCAATTTGCCTCAATAGCCGGAGCTGAGCTGATCTGAATCCAGGAGCCAGGAGCTTCTTCCAGATCTCTCATGTGGGTGCAGGGGCCCAAGGACTTGGGCTGTCTTCTACTGCTTTCCCAGATCATTTCAGAGAGCTGGATCGGAAGTGGAGCAGCCGGGACTTGAACCAGTGCCCATATGGGATGCCGGCACTGCAGGAGGCTGCTTTACCCGATATGCCACAGCGCCGGCCCCAGTTTTTTGTTTTGAAAGCACTCATTCTCGGTTATTATGGGAAGACAGCCGGTGGCTCTGACGTGCCTATGTTGGTCACAGTTTACTGAGAGTCAAGTCCGGCATCAAGAACTGTCAATGGAGGCTGGGTCTGTTATGTGTCAGCTGCCAGCCCAAGTCTGGAATATCACAAACAGATCTCCACCTTGGTGAGTTTGTAGTCAGTGAGGAGAACAGGAGGAACACAATGACCTCTGCATCTTTTGTTTGGACTCTCTGTCAGAGAGGCAAGGCCTAGCTTTAGGGAATTGTTTCACTTCATTGAAAGACTGTAGGATTTTTGTTTTGATTTCAGATAAGTAAGGCAACAACAGACTTCTAAGTAGGAACTTCTGTTTTTCTGGCATTCAAATTTGTCAAAACTGCAAGTTCACTTCAGGAAGTCTGAAAGTCTTTTTGATCTTCTAATATATTGCATAATTTACTAAAATTGTAACTTCACAGTTTCACATGATTCTTCAACAAGCTTTAAGAAATTAAGATTAAAATCAGTAATACAGATGTTTTTGAGTGGCTTGTGCTATCCTGTCTGAAAATGGAAGATTTATCATGGAGATGTAAGTGGCCTGTCAGGTGGAGCTGGGCAGGTGTGCATTTGTGCAGACAGTGCGGAGCTTCTGTGCATTCTTAGTAGTCCTTCTCCTGAGCCAGGATTGGGCTTAGCCAACAAAGCCAAATTTTCCTCCTGGAAGAAGTAGCAACATCTGCCCTGCAGCATGACCCAAGTCCTCGTCTGTTTCTGCATCCAGCCTTGTCAAGATCAGGGCAGGGAAGTGCATGCTTGTATCTGTCCCTATCTGGCCCTACAGATGGCATCTCTTCTTCATTATAGGTGACCTCAGGGGGCACAGAAAGCATACTGATGGCCTGCAAAGCTTATCGGGACCTGGCTCTAGAGAAGGGGATCAAAACTCCAGAGATGTATGTATGCCTGGCTCTTCTCCCCCACTCTGGGTTTGCCTCTTTGGAGCACTGCTGTGTGAAACTGAGCCTCATCATCTCTCTCCCCTTTCCTTCTCCCCCTTTTCCAGTTCTCTCTTCTCCTGTCCTGGCCTCTCTACCCTCGTGCAGCACAGTTCTGGATGGATTGGCCAGATTGTTCCCAGCTACACAAAGTTTATCCCTGGCATATACTCCAAGCTGGAGTGACATCATTTTCCCAAAAGTGGCAGAGTTAGAACACTCTTTGAGGCCGGCACCGCGGCTCACTAGGCTAATCCTCCACCTTGCGGCGCTGGCACACCGGGTTCTAGTCCCGGTCGGGGCGCCGGATTCTGTCCCGGTTGCCCCTCTTCCAGGCCAGCTCTCTGCTGTGGCCAGGGAGTGCAGTGGAGGATGGCCCAAGTGCTTGGGCCCTGCACCCCATGGGAGATCAGGATAAGTACCTGGCTCTTGCCATCGGATTAGCGCGGTGCGCCGGCTGCAGCGTGCCGGCCGCGGCGGCCATTGGGGGTGAACCAACGGCAAAGGAAGACCTTTCTCTCTGTCTCTCTCTCTCTCACTGTCCACTCTGCCTGTCAAAAAAAAAAAAAAAAAAAGAAAAAGAACACTCTTTGAATCCTATGATACTTACTGGTCTTGTCTGCGGCGAAAACAGATTGTGTCCTGGAACTGTTTGCTAGACAGGGGCAAGAAATAAAAACAGGTTACCACATCGCAAGGGAGCGCGAGTTGTTGTATTCTTTTTTTTTTTTTTTTTTTGACAGGCAGAGTGGACAGTGAGAGAGAGAGACAGAGAGAAAGGTCTTCCTTTTGCCGTTGGTTCACCCTCCAATGGCCGCCGCGGCCGGCGCGCTGCGGCCGGCGCACTGCGCTGATCCGATGGCAGGAGCCAGGAGCCAGGTGCTTTTCCTGGTCTCCCATGGGGTGCAGGGCCCAAGCACCTGGGCCATCCTCCACTGCACTCCCTGGCCACAGCAGAGGGCTGGCCTGGAAGAGGGGCAACCGGGACAGAATCCGGCGCCCCAACCGGGACTAGAACCCGGTGTGCCGGCGCCGCTAGGCAGAGGATTAGCCTAGTGAGCCGCGGCGCCGGCCACCCCTGTTGTATTCTAAACACTGTTTTCTGTGCAGAACTTTCAACAGTCTTTATGAGGTTTACCCACTTGGCCACCCGTGGGCATATTTTGGTGTTTGGTGACATGTTCTCCAGACCCTCTCATGTGCAGTGTGCTCACACTGTGTGTTTGGGTTAGTGCTTTTCCCACAAGTGGCAGTGATGGAGGGGTTTGGCCCGTAGTCCCGTGCTACAGTTCATACTTGGCCTAGGAGAGGAACTCGGGTCTCCAGTCTCTCTGCATCTTGGGTCTTGGTGCTTGCTTGGTGGTAATGGAGATGAGATGTTTTCCCCTAAAGGGAACAGACTCATGACAGGAGTGGGGTAACAGATACATCTGGAAGCACACATTTCCTCCCAACTCTGCTTGCTCTTCAAATACTACTTCCAAATGGTATAGGAGAAGTGAGGACTGGAGGTTCCTGTGGTGCTATGGTCTCTCCGAGGGGACAGCCGCTGTGATGCTTGGCTGCCGCGTGGCATTCCTGCCCAGCAGCCTGCGCCTCTGCCTTGGCGTGTGTTGTGTCAGGACGCTCGCCTCTCACTGAGGTGCCTGTCTCAACAGCCGACTGTTAGGACCCTTTACCTTGTGCTGCTGTCATCCAGGTGCTCTGTCCTAGAATTTTCCTCCCGTCAGCCCTCATTTCTGCTTTGAATCCATTGGTGTGGAAATACTCCCCTTTTAAAAAAAAGATTCATTATTTACTTATTTATGTACTTGAAATGTAGAGTGACAGAGCGGGGGAGATAGAGAGAAATCTTCCATTTGCTGGTCTACTCCCCAAATGGCAACAACAGCCAGGTTTGGGACAGGCTGAAGCCAGGACCAGGAACCCCATCCTGGTCTCCCAGGTGGGTGGCAGGGGCCCGAGTATTTGGGCCACTTTCTGCTGCTTTCCCAGGCATATTAGCAGGGAGCCAGAGCCAGGACTGGAACCGGCACTCTGCTAGGGGATGCGGGTGTTGTAAGTGGTGGCTTCACTCTCTGTATCACATTGCCAGCCCCTGAAAATACTTCTTTCTGAGTTCTCTTTATTGCTAAAATGATTTCCTAACTAGTAGGGAAAAGGTTTCCACAGAAAACCAGTAGGCGAACACTTACAATAATTTGGGGGAAATGAATCAGAAGTTTACTCTGGCAATTTAATTTTGCTGCCAACCGTGTCCACCTTTGAATCCCATTTTGGTCTGAATTCCATTATTCTCCTTCACCAACCCTCTAGTGTGGCTCCCCAGAGTGCTCACGCCGCATTTGACAAGGCAGCCAGCTATTTCGGCATGAAGATTGTGCGGGTTCCGCTGAACAAGATGATGGAGGTGGACGTGCGGGTGAGTCCCCCGGCACCCGAGAGGCAGGAGGTGCCGCTCTGACTTGGGTTGTGGTTGCTGCTGGCGCTGGGGACCCCCTGCGGCTGCCGTCTTTTCAGTAGCTGATGAATCCTGGCGGAGTGATCTGTGCCTGACGCAGGGCTGGAAAGGCATGGGTTCTGCTTTCAGCACCATCACTTTCCTTTGCTTTCTCTCTTTATAAAGTGGATGTGGACTGACTTGCCCAAGATTCACTGTGATTTTGATTGGTTTGAATTGGTTCCATGCGATTGTGGTAGTCATTATTTTTATGCCTCACATTTGTGTGGAAGAACTACTAGTTTGTCAGGATCACACTTGAGCCATTCACAGATGAGGAGCTCGATTGACGTCAGTTCACACAAGGTGTTGTGGTTGGTTGTGGGGCTGGGCGTCTGTCTGAGTCTTCTGCCCCTGAGCTCAGTATTGATTTCATCTCCTCAATGTTGGTGGTATTGCTTGCAGACAGTTCTCCCCAAACACACCTCTCTGGACCTGCTTCTGTATTGCCCCATGATAGGGGCACAGGCTTCAGCCAGGTTGGAGTGGTAAAGAAGCGGGCACTGGTGGGGTGGGTACTCTAACCTTTGCTGCCCAGATTGCTCTTGGCAGCCAAAGGGGAGAGTGATTATCAAGCAGATTCTCAGTTTGCTTTGCACCTTAAATCCTTAGGCGATGAGAAGAGCCATTTCCAGGAACACAGCCATGCTCGTCTGTTCTGCTCCGCAGTTTGCTCATGGCGTGATAGATCCCATCTCTGAAGTGGCCAAGGTACAGGAGAGAAATGGGTTCCTTTCATATCACATTGAGATTTTAAAATAGACTAACGGTGCCGTGCTTGGCAAATAGAAGCAATTTTGATGTTAGGTTTGACTACCCTCGGGGGAACAGCTCCCATGAGCAGTGGGATAAGCCCTGCAGCTCTGTTGGGAGCCACTGCCTGCATGGCCTCCTTCGCAAGCCAAGAACAAGAATACTAGTATTCTGGAGTAGTACTGACTTGTTGATGCAGGTTCAGGAAGTAATCTGCATTTAGGAACATGCCCCAGGAGGGTGGTGCTCCACGTGGGGCAGGCTTCCGCAGCACCTTCACCTACCCCACCCCAGTCCTTCCACCCGACTCCCCGCCTCCCCTCTCCTGCTGTGACTAAAGCAGGGCCTTTTTTCCCTCCAGAGGCAGCCTCCATCAGAGCTCTACCCGTTTCCTAGTTGATTTTGCAGGGAGTTTGGGGTCATGCATATCAAATAGTTAGCACATTGCAGATGGATTATTTTTCAGACAAAATATATTTCAAGGATAAATCTTGCTAGAAATGTTAAAAATAGCCAGTTGTTTAAAACCTGGAAACTTGGGACAAAATAGCCTGATGTTTATAGTCCCCTAACCACCTGTGTTCTGAAGAATTTGTAGTGTTGGGGTCTGAGATGAAGTATTTTTATGTTGTTTGTTTTTGGAACTAGCTGGCTGTCAAATACAAAATCCCTCTGCATGTAGACGCATGTCTGGGGGGCTTCCTCATCGTCTTTATGGAGAAAGCAGGGTACCCACTGGAACAACCATTTGACTTCCGGGTGGAAGGTGTGACCAGCATTTCAGCTGATACCCATAAGGTGAGCAAAGGAGGAGGTCAAATGTGAGCAGCTGATTGTTTTCACTGTTATCGACAGGATAAACTGCTTTAGGCGTAGCTTTCCCCCAGAGTACAAAATGAAGTCTGGCTCTTCGCTTTTACCAGGTTAGCTAATTTAGGTGATAGGGTACAGGGGTAGAGGTGACCAGTAACAGTGAAAAGTTTCCTTTATGTCCCACTGGCCAAGACATTTTCTTTTTTAAATTTTATTTATTTATTTATTTTGACAGGCAGAGTGGACAGAGAGAGAGACAGAGAGAAAGGTCTTCCTTTTCCGTTGGTTCACCCCCCAATGGCCTCTGCAGCTGGTGTACCGCGCCGATCCGAAGCCAGGAGCCAGGTGCTTCTCCTGGTCTCCTATGCAGGTGCAGGGCCCAAGCACTTGGGCCATCCTCCACTGCACTCCCGGGCCACAGCAGACAACTGGGCTGGAAGAGGGGCAACCAGGACTAGAACCCGGGGTGCCGGCGCCGCAGGCAAAGGATTAGCCTATTGAGCCACGGCGCCGGCCCGGCCAAGACATTTTCTGTGTGTACTGATCATGGGTAGCCTGGGCAAGCTAGTGTAGTGGCCCTTCTGAGGCACAGTTGCCTGGGGCCTTGGGGTTTTTTGAGGAAGAGGAAGTGAGGATGACCCTGGGCCTACTGAGGGGTAGGTGTTAGTGTTGTGGCTTCTGAGCTGGAGTGGTCAGGAGCATGCTGGTGCAGAGTCCTTTGGGCAGAAGGAAGAACCTGTGTGCTCAGGAACGGCCAGCCTAGGATGCTCAAAGTCGCCACGCCTGCCATCCCTGGTGCACTGAGGTGCGGTCCAGGCAGTCGAAGCTCCTGCGAGAGTGTGTCCCCATGTGGATGGAGCATTATGTCTGCCTTGCTTTGACTGCATTTCTAGAGTGCATTTGCAACTAGACTGCAGTAGAGACTTGCTTTTCACACTCTAAATGACGTGCAACAAATTTTCAGTCAACTTTCCGCCTTACTCCCCCTGCCCATTTCCCTCCGCCATCCATTTTATGTGGTTTGTGAATGACGTGAGCGGCCTGTTAGCTTCTGTAGGAGTTACTCAGCGGGTACTTTTCTACGGAGAAACTGGTTACACGCATTATTTCAAAGCTGGATTAAGTAGCTTTTAGATTCTGAGTACCATTATGGTCTTAAAAAGAAACACAGTTATACAAAATGGTAATTTTAGTAGCTCCAAGTGACTTGAGTTCAGTCTTTCTTTGCTTTCAATGGAAATTTATCCTTGTTTCCATTTGGACATACTATCCCAGAAAAACATTTTAAGTAAAGGAGACCGCATGTTAGGAGTGGGTGGGGCTGAGTCACCCATTAACTGGGCTGTTCTCTGGCCTCAGCTCCCCCTTCCTGAAAAGGGAATTTAAACTCCGTCCCTTAACTTCCTTGTCCCCTTTAGTATTCCGAGTTTGTCTTTAACGTGGGTGAGAAACGTTACAGGGCAGCTGCAGCTAAGTCGGCATTACTTTGCGTGAAGAGGGCTCTGGGAGAGGCTGGCCAGACAGAACCACACTTTGACCTGTCTGCTTCTTTTTCTCAGTATGGCTACGCCCCCAAAGGCTCTTCTGTGGTGCTGTACAGTGACAAGAAGTACAGGAATTACCAGTTCTTCGTTAGTACGGATTGGCAGGGTGGCATCTATGCCTCCCCAAGCATCGCAGGCTCACGGCCTGGGGGCATCAGTGCAGCCTGTTGGGCTGCCTTGATGTACTTCGGGGAGAACGGCTACGTTGAATCTACTAAACAGATCATCAAAACTGCTCGCTTCCTCAAGTCAGAGTATGTGTGCAAGATTCGAATTTTGCCTTGTCTTTTTTTCCTGCTGGTGGGCTCAAGGCACACACCTGGTCATGTTCTCATGACCCTTGGCCATAGGACACAGCCTAGAAGTGATCTTCCGGCGGGGTGGGGTGTGTCTTTTGGAGATCTTCCTGTCTCTACGGCTACCTCTGAACAATGGGCAGCTCTTCCTATTGCTAATGTACAGTCTAATGGTTAAGATAGCGGTTGCGAAACTTGAGTGTGCGTCCTGATCACCCAGAGGGCTCAAGCCCTACTCCTAGAATTTCTGATTCAGTAGATTTGGAAGGTTTCCATTTCTAGTGAGATCCCAGGAGACATTGATGGCACTAGACCAGGAATCACCACCTGGAGAGTCACTGGGGTCGGCAGAGACTGGAAATGAGACCGAAGGAAAGGGGAGGGGAGAGCGCTGGCTTCCGGGGGGGTGGCCAAAGCTAGAAGTGGCTGCAGCTCTGTCTGATGTGTCTGTTAGGACATCACTAGCAGACGCTGTTTCAGAATGTAGTGCTGTCTCCTGTGGAAAAGGTCCCATGTAGTTCCATGAGGGCCCTCTGTTGTGAACCACTGTACAGGCTCTTGCTTTAGGGATTACATATATAATTTTTTTAACCACTACAGAGATGGAGGAATCATTTTTCTGGGATTTTTCTGTTGTTGTTACTTTAATTCCTCAGATGTCCCTAGGGGAGTTTAACTTGGGAGTTGAGTAGACAAATTAGAAGCCAGTGGTTTGGACGCGTTAGGTCTAGATGGGGGTGGGGTGGGCCTTGGAATATTTTTAACGTTCTGCCTGTGATTCTGATCTCCACAATATCCACTGGTCCCATCCTAGCCTCCTTGTTTTAGACAATGAGAAGAGCAAATCCCCCAAAGGTTGCACTGTACTGTACGGGAGACTTTAGAGATGATTAAAGAGACTATAACCAGAGGACGGTATGTGGCTGAATTTCCTTTTTGTTCCTTTTATTTGTTTAAGACTGGAGAATATCAAAGGCATCTTTGTTTTTGGGAATCCTCAATTGTCAGTCATTGCTCTGGGCTCCCGAGAATTTGACATCTTCCGACTTTCTAACATGATGACTGCTAAGGGGTGGAACTTGAACCAGTTACAGTTTCCGCCCAGGTAAGTTGGAGAAGCCGCTTTGCCTTCCTTTACTCCGTGACTTGAAGAACTTGGGTGGCTAACTAGGAAGCCTGAAGTGCGGTCTGACTGCTTTAGTCCAGCACGTGGGTAGCAACTATGGTATTGGTATCTGTAGGGTTTCCGTTTTGCCACCTGGAGCTACTAGTTATAAAGAAAAGACTGCTAACTTTAAACTCTGGCAGAATTAGGTGATAGCCTCCTGAGACCAATAGTCAGTCCTGAGATTTTTCTCCCACTCTCTGTATACTCTGCAATCAGACAGTTCTTATAAAAAACTCATTTCCTGGGTCATGGTTTGTGAAAACAATCCAGAGGTTTGCAGTCATTTAGGCCTGCTACCGTCAGCTCAGGCACATCTCCAGCCTTGTCTTCTCTGTTGCCTGGATGGGTGGATTCAGTGTCTCTGTGTTCAGCTCAGCCTGGCACATGTTGGTGCCATTGCCAGTCCCAGCTGGACTGTGTCTTCCTCTTCACAATTTGTGTACACCCAGTCCTCACTCCAGGGTGAGTTAGAGTTCCTTCCTCAAGTCCTTCAAGACTGCAGCCACGTAGCCCTCCTCCCTTGAGGCTGTAGGCTGGAAGTGTCCCATTGGTGGTCAGTAATTGACAGTTGGTGAGAGGAGAGGCGAGACAAAACAGTTGGTTGTGGCTCTTGATCACGCTGAGAGGCCCTGGATCAAGCCCAGGGTTTGAGCCCCTTGATTCCCACGGTTGGGAGCAGTGCAGATGAAGGAACTGTGATAAATAGTGTGCAGCCAGTCACTTCCTGCATTTGGGGCAGCTTTATTTTGGAACATCTTTTCTGCCTGTTTTCAAGGTTTGTCTTGCTCTCTGTTCTCCCGCAGTATTCATTTCTGCATTACATTAGTACACACCCGGAAGCGAGTAGCCACACAGTTCCTGAAGGACGTCCGGGAGTCTGTCACACAAATCATGAAGAATCCTAAAGCAAAGACCACAGGAATGGTGAGGACATTGGAGACTGCTTTTCCTTGCAAAGTTAGGGGTTGGTGTGCAGGTTTGAAGGAGTCGAGTGAACCAGAATGCCATTCTGCCCCTGCCCTCCTGTCTCGTTTGTTAGTTGGAGCTGGTGCTTTGTGCCTCCCATTCCCAGGGTCGCTGGGAGTCTCAGTGAGGTAATTGATATATAAACATCTTGCAAACTAGAATCTGCTTTGTAAACACAGATGGTGGTAGTGGTCATTTGAAAATACAGCTGTGACACAGGAAAGGCAATAATTTTTTCTGGAATTTTCAATAGCAGATCCCGTAGAACAGTTACTTTATGCAGGAAGGGAGACTGGAAAGTACCTGTGAAAAATAGACTATGTCGGCCAGTTTTCTGCCACAATGATGCCTAGAGATCTAGGACCAGAGGAAAAGGGGCTTATTGCCACAGCTTTGTCCTTGCTGTATATGTGTTGTCACTAACGATGGATTCTTGGTTGGATTTGCAGGGTGCCGTCTACGGCATGGCCCAGGCAATCGTCGACAGGAATATGGTTGTGGAATTGACGTCGGTCTTCCTGAACAGCCTGTACAGCACAGAAGCAGTAGCCCAGGGCCCCCAGATGAATGGTTCTCCAAAGCCCCGCTGAGCCTGGACCCTTTCTAGCCCCAGAGGCTTCTGGCCTTCAGAAGGTTCTAGGGGTACGGAATAGCCATGTACAACTTTGACCTCTGGTCTTGGCCCAGAGCACAACCAGATAGACCGCAAGACAGCTTGAACCTCAGGATTCTTGTCTCTTGTTTTGTTATCCTTCTATGGTTTCTAATTTAAATGCCCCAGAGGTTTCTGTCATCTAGTGGATTTGCCCTTGTTATAGATGTTCCCCTAGGAATTACTGTAATCATTGCCTTCTCTAACTTCTCTGACTGTCAGCTTCACTTCATCACTGTGTGGCGGCTCTGGCCTGTCCTGACTCCCTAGGGAAGCTGGGCTCCAGTGTGCGAGAGAGGCAGGGTTTCTCTGTGAGGTCATGCACGTTTCGGCCAGTCAGAGCAGCCGTGTCACAGATGGGTCCCAGGTAGCATGGGCGCTCTAAGCAGGAGGCTTCTCTGGCGCTCTGCCCGAGGGTAGCTTAGCTGTGTGTGTCAGCGTCACTTTGTGACTTCTTTCACTTATTCCCTTTGGGGACGGGAGTGGTTCAGCCGTCTGCCCAGTCTCCCAAGGCAGGGTTTGTGGTGGGCCGTTGATCCTCTTCTGGGCTTGCAGGCCCCATTTGATACTTGTTGCCACCAATATTGGAGACTCTGAAATGATGCTCCCATTAGTTTCATGGACCAGGATGGGAACATGGTTTCCAGAGGATCTGGGACTTCTGGCAAGACGCTGCCTCCGAGTTAGCAGTGGTGGGAGCACACCTGAGCCCTCACCTGGGCAGAACACAGACTAGTTTCTCTTCTTTTCTGAACATCCCAGTAGAGTGAGCACGCAGGTTCAAATGTGGGTCACTAAAGCTGGCGTTGGCCTGCCCGTCCTCCCTGCTTTAAGCCATCATGTCCTGAGGATATGTTTGAGAGGAACAGCTCAAAGCACCTCCACAAGCAGCCTTGACTTACCCTAGGGGTGTGTGAGGAGAGGTGGGAGAGCCCCATGGCAAGGAGAATTTTCTCTCCATTAGTGTGCTTGTCCTGCCCTTCCCCTTGCTCGGCTTCCAGAGGTACTACGCCAGTTTCACTTCAGGTGCTGGACCACTAGGCCCTGACCAAAAGGGAGCAGTGCAGGCAGAGCTATGCATTTTGGAATAGGAAGGCTGATGGCAAGTAGCCATGTGGCCTAGAGCCTGGAGTTCCTTCCCTAAGACTCAGGGTGGTGCAGGGGCAGTGCCAGCCCTGCACCCACTTCCTGCCCTCTTCTTCCCTGTCTGGGGCCGTGATCTGGGTTGAACCACTGTCCTGCTATAATGACATCATATCATGTGCCTTTCTCCTCAGCAGTGAGCAGGCCCCAGGGGAGTGGACCTGTGGGCGAGGCTTCTGTTGGGATGGGGGAGAACTTAGGACTAGCGAGGAGGAACTTTCCTCAGGGACTCCGGCACATTCAGCCTCTCCAAGCTGGCACCCTCTGCCTGCCTCCCCGGGCATGTTGGCTGGGAGAGCCTGGACTACCAGACTGTTCCTTAAGCTCCTTAGCATGTTTGTCCGGCTGTCCTTTAGCACTGCACTTCTTAGCCATGGACGATGACTAGCTGGCGTGTCATTGCAGGGCTGGAGTGAGTGAGTGTGTGTGTGTGTGTGAGAGAGAGAGAGAAGGAGAGAGATGGAGAGATGGAGAGGCTGAGAACCGTAGGATGTGGGAGTTGCACAGTTGCTGAACTGGCAGGCGCCTGCTTGAGAGTGACTGTGGTCAGACCTGTGGCAAGGGTTGTCTCGCGTCTCCCGAGCGCCGTGCTGGATGAGGTCTGACGACATCACCGTGGCTTGCCAGCTGCTGGAGTGGAGAAGCATGTTCCCTAAGTGTGCGGACACTTCCAGTGTCTCCCCAGGACCAGACTCCTGAGCTACTCCCGTCCTTGTGTGGTGACAGCATTGGTGCCCCTGGGTGATGATGTTTTTCAAAGGGACCTACTGTAGCCACTTTATGATGAAGAGCCTTAGATTGTCTTAATGCTTTGGCAGGCTTTCCATTTGGTGCGTGTGTGTGTGTGTGTGTGTGTGCACACACACACACGTACTCAGTCATACCCAGGCTGTGGCACGGGTGAGTGGAGTGTCTCAGTGGTATCATGTTGCTAGCAGATGGCCCTCTGGCTTCTGCAAAAACTGTACTGTTTTGATTCTGCATTAGAAGTAGTCATGTGAATATACTGCCATGTGACTTTTAATATTGCCAGTTTTATACTTGGAAAATGGTACTTACCTTTTTTTTAAATCTTCTGTCTTCTCTAACCTTTCCCTTCTTCTCTCCATGCCCCCCTCCTAATTGCAGCAATAATCTCTCTAAAAGCAATTAAATAATTAAATGTCTGAAATTAAATCATTGTGGATGGTTGCATTTGTTGGTTTATTTGGGCATAGAGATCACAAATGGGATGGTGGTGGCACGTGAATGGGCTGTGAGAGAGCGCCTCCTGGTGGTGAGATGGTTGTGTGTGGCCACAGATAGGAAGGCTAACACAGTGAGTAGCAGTCCGTAGCCATGCATTTTAATAGGTAGCTTGTGAACAGGAGTGGTGGGCACACCTGTTTTAGGGAGGTCTAGAATTGAGGCCCTTAAATCCCCAGGACTGGGCCCTGTCTTCTGTTTTCTGCCGTTTTCAGTGTCCACTTCTGTTTGCAACTTCCTGATGGATTGAGCCATTCTTGGTGATCTCTAATCAGCTGGGCAGTATGACTGTGTTTAATCAAAGGCCACTGACTCTGATCCCTGCATTTGCTCTGGGGGCAAACAGAACCCTGAAGATAGCTTCACACCCAAAACTGCTGGGCTTCTTGTTCTGGTATGAATTAGAAACGAGAAGTCTTTCCAAAGAGTTAGTCTGGGTCTAAGGACCATCATTCAACACATTCCCATTCAGACTTTGCCAGATCTAAGCCTAGGAATGCTGCCTTTGCTTAAGGTCCTGCCAGATGGTCTGGTGCCTTGAGGGTCTGTAAGCCAGAGAAACAAGCAGGGTAGGCTGGCTCAAGGAAGGCTGGCCCATCACTCCCTACAGCCTTGAGCCCCGTCACCTTCTTTCTGGTTCTTGGTAGCCATGAGTAGCTTTCAGCTAGACCTAGCAGTGGCCAAAGTCACAACGGAAGCCAGCTATCACTCGGATGGGCAAAAACCTCTTTTAAAAAAGATTACTTATTTGAAAGGCAGAGTGTGTGAGAAAGGGAACGAGAACGAGAGTCCATCTCCTGGTTTACTCCCCAGATGGCTGCAACAGCCAGGGCTGAACGGTGCCCTAGCCAGGAACCAAGAACTCCGACTAGGTCCCTGTCTTGGGGTCTGGGAACCACGTGTTTGGGCCCATCTTCGCCTGCTTTCCCAGGCACAATGAGCAGGGAACTGTGGCTCAAACTGGTGCTCTGGTACGGGATGCTGGCATCTCAAGAGGAGCCTACACCCACTGCACCACAACGCTGGCCCCAAAGCCAGCTTGTTGAGAGCCTTTTCTTGGAGTATCCATGCCTTGTTTTCTCTTACGCTTTCCTCATTGCCATATTTCTTTTCTTAATATCCTCCCCTATAATTTCAATCATTTGGATTAATGTTAGGATAAACTTATTTCTCAATGTGTTGCCTGGGTCTTTGTCCCACACGAAGGTACTTTACCCAACTGTGGTGCTACCTCTGTTGGCATTTTTCAATCTTCGATCCATAGTAAAGCAGGAAGGTGGTGTAACAGTGCAGTGTACCTCTGTACCTGTCCCCCAGGCCCCAGTCGTCAGATCAAAGCACACTTAGAAAAGTGTAAGGACAGAGCAGATGGGAGGCCAGTATGAATTCTTGGTGATGCTGAACTTTGGCAGAGGTGTTGCCATCATCATAGGTGTTGACAATCTTATTAGCATTATGGGCTAGGAAGGGGGGGGTCCTGCTATCTTCTTTTTTAAAATTTTTTATTTATTTGAAAGGCAGAGTTAGAGAGATCTTCTACCCATTGGTTCACTCTCAAAATGGCTGCAATGGCCTGGGCTGGGACAAGCCAAAGCCAGGAGCTAGGAGCTTCATCCAGGTCTCCCATGTGGATGCAGGGGCCCAAGTACTTGGCCCATCTTCTGCTGCTTTCCCAGGTGCATTAGCAGGGAGCTGGATCGGAAGTGGAGCAGCCAGGACTCAAACCAGTGCCCATATGGGATGTTGGTGCTGCAGGGGCCAGCCCCCCTGCTATCCTTACTCTTCCTGACAATATGCTTGCTTCTCAGTCACCAACCTCTGTCTTCTTCCTGGCCGTGGCTGGAGTTTACAGACTCCTCCCGGCCGACTGTTGGTGACACTGTCAGATGCCTGCTCCAAATGACCCTGGTATTTATGAGTCTCCTTGGTACCCAGGCAGTGCTTGAGGTTAGTCACAGGTGAGAGCTGGGACAAGGGCTAGTCCACCTCTGCATCAGAGCGTATGACATGAGGGGAAGGGATGTCACATGCACACTGGCTGCCCTTAGCGCTGCCTCCTGCCAGCCATGGCTCATCAGTGCACACGTCCTGTGCCAGGCTCACTGGCTGGAACCTGCACGAACCAGCAGCTCTGCTGCTCAGATGGTCAACAGCCTGTCAACTCCTCAACTCTACCTCTGGCTTCTCACTTGTGGAGTGCAGCAGGTAAGCCATGAGACCTTTGTTGTGGTTCTAAGAAACAACAGAGACCACCAGGGTTAGAAGTCTCATCTTGGGGGGCCGGCGCTGTGGCGCAGTGGGTTAACGCTGTGGCCTGAAGCCATATGACATCCCATATGGGCGCCAGTTTGAGTCCCAGCTGCTCCACTTCTGATCCAGCTCTCTGCTATGGCCTGGGAAAGCAGTAGAAGATGGCCCAAGTCCTTGAGCCCCTGCACCCACGTGGGAGACCAGGAAGAAGCTCCTGGCTCCTGGCTTCAGATCGGCACAGCTCCGGCCATGGCGGCCGTCTGGGGAGTAAACCATCGAATGGAAGACCTCTCTCTCTCTCTTTGCCTCTCCTCTCTCTGTGTAACTCTTTCAAATAAATAAATAAATAAATCTTTAAAAAAAAAAAGTCTCATGTTACGGGTCAGTGTACAAGGGCAAATGGAATTAAGAGATGCTTATTTTGGTGCAAAAAAATGATAGCAACCCAAGCACAGTGTTTCTGTAGTTTTCCTTTTGCAGGACCCCTCATATGCATAGATTTCACCAAATTTTTGCATCAAAATAAACTTACCTTTTAATTGCATTTTTCATGAACTGTTTGAAGCCATCTCCCGTTAGTCAGTGTTCTCTGGAGAAACAGAAGCAGCATCCACACAGAGAAAGAGGGGAGAGTTTAATAAGGAACTTGCTCATCTGATTCCGCAGGCTGAAGCTCAAGGTCTGCATCTGGAAGCTGGGGTCGCAGGGGAGGTGATGCCGTCCTCCCAGGGCGGGGGCCAGAGGTTCCAGAAGACTGGATGTTTTCTGCTGGGCCCTCAGACCAGGAAGAGTGAGACCCCAGCTCTAGGCAGTCGGGCGGGCAATGCACGTACTGGGTGAACGGTCAGCCCTTCTGTTTATGTCTTCAGCTGAATGGGTGGGAGAGCAGTCTGTTTCACTGGGTCTGCCCATTCAAATGTTCATCCCATCCAGAAACATCTCACAGACACCCAGACCCAAAGGCCTGGGAGCCCATGACCCGGTCAGCCAGTCACGTCGACACTACACTTAGCTGGGAAGATGACATAAGGCTCCAGAGTGCCTTTGCAGACGTTGGTCCCACAGGCACAGCAGACACACGCCCCGTGCACCTTCGTGTGTGCTCACATGCTCCTCAGCCACTCTGCCTCAGGAAGCCCACTCGAGTCTTGGAGGCTCAACTCAGCTTTGCCCTGGAAGCCATTCTTCACTTAAAGCACACATTTTACCCAGCTATGCAGCATTAACTCGATCCATCCTGCCCGATCCCCCTGGCCGATAAGGAACCTGAAGGCAGGTGGTGGTCCCTCCTTTCCCCACCCCATACCTAGAGTGGTGCCTCATACAGGCTGCTTTAACTTACATGCCTGTTGGCTCCAGCTGGGATTGACCTGTGGAAAAGAAGGTTCTAGAGCCCAAGACCAAGTGATACAGTAGTTTTATTTGAGGCATTAAAGCCCATGTGCTTCCATTGCGTAGGCTGAGGTTCACGGTGGGGTTCTGGGTTCTAAGACAAGACTTTATTTCACCTTATACCACAGCTTCTTGGGAAATGAGTTTGAAAGGAAACTAGACAGCCTGTTAGGAAATCGTTACTGTTACAGGAAAGTTATCAAAGAAAGGGGAGAGCTTATTCAAATTAGTGTAACATAACAGCCCCAAGGCGAAGAGGGTGGCACAGGGGAAAGGTCCCAGTTCCAGGTGTCGCAGATGCAGGCATCTCCTTTCCACAGGGACTCACCCCTACGACACAGGCAGCAGGGGCTTGGGGCCCAGGGCTCCTCAGTCCCCTCCCTGCCACAGAATTTGAAGGGCAGGGTCTATGTCATGGACACTGCGACTTGTTCAATGAAACTGGCCAGGTTTATGTCCCGCTCTGAGAGGCCCGCACACTCATGGGTGCTCAGGGTGATGTGGACCTGAAACAAACAGAGATTCCCGTCACTGACTCCATCATCGTCACTTAGGAGGGTCACTGGTGGTTGGGCTTAGGGCCACCATGAGCTCCAGAGTAGTACCCAGGCACCACCAGCTCTCCCTGCACGTCCGTCACAACAGTGCCACCTTGTCGTCTGTGTCTCCCCATGGATGTTCTTCAAAAATAATGGCTATGGGATAAAAATTTAACATGCACATATCAAGAGCAACCTAACAGATAAAGACAAAACCAGCAGTAACTTGTAAACACCATCTATTCCATGCTTAATGCTTTTATCAACAGTCCAACAGAGCTCTTGGCACATGGTAGGCACTTAATGCCTGCTGCATTAGGAAGACAGTCTGATCTGCCATATGTATGCATATTCTGAGTTCAAGTTTATTCTTGCCTGATTCTCCTATACCTCCAGAGACTTGACAATGAACAGGGATGCCTGACTCCCAGAGCCTTGCCTTTCTTGGTTTTGTCTTTCAATGTATACTTTTTATTTTTTATTTTTTTGGACAGGCAGAGTGGACAGTGAGAGAGAGAGACAGACAGAAAGGTCTTCCTTTGCTGTTGGTTCACCCTCCAATGGCCGCTGTGGCTGGCACACTGCAGCCGGCGCACAGCGCTAATCCGATGGCAGGAGCCAGGTGCTTCTCCTGGTCTCCCATGGGGTGCAGGGCCCAAGCACTTGGGCCATCCTCCACTGCCTTCCCGGGCCACAGCAGAGAGCTGGCCTGGAAGAGGGGCAACCGGGACAGAATCCGGTGCCCCGACC